ATAAACAATTTTTGTATGAAAGTTAATTAACCTAAGTGTTTATCGAATTCTTTTTGCTTTTTTTGTTTGTTTTCGCTGTTGACACAAAAGCAAATACATGTCTCAGTCGTACGAACGCAACCATTTGCAGACATATATATGTAAAGACGTATGAATTTATTTGTTTAGATATCGAGTAGCAAGCAGCCTTGTGGCATTGCTGATTCTGGACAATACAAAGTATTTTGTTTTAACGATGCTGGATCGCTTTTAGAGATTTTGCAATTTTATGATGAATACATGCGTCTCTCGTAGTAGAATGTGGCCCACATAGAAAACATTGTATGTTTACGATTGCTGTCACAGAGGAGTATGTATTTTGTGAATGAATTTGATTTAATAATCTTGCTAAGCATTGCCAGTAGTCGAAATATGTATGCCCTAGTCCGCACTGCTGTACACGTAGTATGGCATTTGTTTGTTACATAAATATAGAAAGGCAACAGACCCGTAGTTACTTGTACATGTCCGTACAAAACTCAGGTCGCATTTCCTTCTTATCCAATTGAGATGACATTTTGCACAGTTGTTTCCTTGAGAAGGACAGAGTCAGGTTTGTATATAGCTTCTACTTATAATTTACCCTGCTTTCATGCAACCAAAAAGAAAAGTCGACTTAAAATTATTCCACTTTGTTCAATATGTTAAAAATCGAGAAAGATTATACCCTACACCACATAGAGATAAAGGTATTATGTCTTTGTACATTTGTATGTAACATGGAGAAGGAAACGAGATAGACCGATAGTTACTTTTGAGGATCACCTTCTGAGTCGAATTATGCATGTCAGTCCGTCAAACAATATTTTTTTGGCCCAAGGACGAACCCTATTGAAATTTGTTAGAGACGGTTTAAATGATTTCGGTATAAACCGATTTCGGGTTAATTGTGGACTTAAAGGCCAATATCAGTCCAAATGAATTTTGGCACATCTGACCGAATTCAATGTAGAAGCAAGTATATCCAAAAGCAAGTGCTTCAAGTTTTAGTTAAAATCGGTTCAGATATATCTTTATCTTCTATATATATTGTTCATCCAATTTGCTGTTAAAGTCCCGCACAAGCGTAATATGCACTCCTCAACAATGATATTTCATACCGGACATCAGATACTGCTCCAAAATACCTTTGCCAAATTTTATCGAGATCGGTTCAGATTTTTATATAGCTTCGATATACATCTTCGTCCGATTTTACGATTATTGCTCACCATATATTCAGTCCAAATTGAATAGAATTTTCATATTCAACTGAATTTCCCATTTGGCGAAACTCGGTCTGTATATCTATAGCTCCAATAAATAGTTTTTATACCCTCAACCATACATAGTATGGAGAGTATATTAAGTTCGTCATTCCGTTTGTAACTCATCGAAATAATAATTTTAGACCCAACAAAGTATATATATTCTTGATTAGCGTAAAATTCTAAGATGATTTAGCCCTGTCCGTCCGTGTGTCCGTCTGTTGTAATCAAGCTACAGTCAAAACGAATTAAGATAGTAAGCTAAAATTTTGAACAGATCTGTCTTTTGTCTGCAGGCATAGTTCGATGATGGGCTATATCGATCCACGATATCGTATAGCCACCATATAACGGTACCCCCGATAGTCGGTATTTTGAGATTTTAGCCACATTTTTTAAGGAAATTGTCTGAAATTCTACACAAGGAGCTCCTTGTGAGCACCTTAACCCCTGAAAGAAAATTGTTTATATAGCTCCACGATATCGTATAGCCCCCATATAACGGTACCCCCCGATATTCGGTACTTGGATTATTTTAACCACATTTCTCAATGGAATTGTCTGAAATTCCACACAAGAAGTTCATTGTGAGTACTTTACCCCAGACATAGATTGGTCTGTATAGGTCCACAATATCGTATATCCCCCCTATATATCGTCACCTTACCATTGTCGGTATTTTTAAGATTTTAACAGGATTTTTAAAGGATTTTATTTTATTTTATTTTTTTTTTTTTTAATTTCCTAATTCGTTCCAAATGGTGGAGGGTATTTAAAGTTCGGCCCAGCCGAACTTACTGCTTTTTTAATTGTTAATATAATTCTTATTGAAGTCAGATCTTGCACTATACAGCAATGTTATTTGGTACATAATTTCCCAATATAAATTTTTGTGTTGCGTGAGCTCCACTAAATACGTATAGTGGTGTAGTGTATCATAGTCGGCCCGCCCTTTTTACCTCTCCTTACTGGTTTTAGAATAATTACGTCAAAGACAAAGTTAAAGAGTTGATACTTAAAAGTAACTTAAAAAACCGTTTTAGACAGGAAATGTAAAAAATATATTTTTTGCCCAAAATTTCACTATAAATCTCGAAATACACCATATTTATAGGTTTACAAGTTTTTGAGACAATTATATTCGAAATTTATATATTACAAGCGGAAATTATTTGTTTGTATTGTTTATTGCTAATTCAAGACCTTTTCATTCAAAGCCAAAATCTTCCTTAATACTTGAGTTTTTAGGAAAAAAGTAAAAGGGGTTTACGTTCGGCCGAGTTCGAGAACTTATCGAACATTTCCGTGTGATTTCAACAGACACCGCATAGTGTCACGACCGTGACCAAAAATGGTCAAAACCAAGTGCCTCGTAGTACAGATTTATTAATGGGAATTTATAGAAAATATATCAGTTAATCTGAATTTTGGTACTGATACGTCAAGTTTTTTACTATATGAGGATTTGAATCCGACTATTATAGTTAATCGATATTTAAACGGCGAAAACGAAATAACGGTTTTAGACCATAGGTCTCCTTGGAACAAATTCATTTCAGGATGGTGCGCACGATAACTCATGATGGGAGTATCCGATTTGGTCCAAACTTGGTAAATCGTAATATTATTATTAAACATAGATCGAGTTCGAAGATGGGTAATATCGGTCCACTCCCCAACCTAAGGTCGAAATTTTCAAAAAAAAAAAAAAAATATTTTTCTGCTCCAAATTTGCAAACCCTAATATTAGCATCAGTGTTAGATCAGGTACTAAAATACCACCCCCACAAAGGGTCAAAATTTTGAATAATTTCAAATAAAATGTGATGTAAGAGTCCGATTGCCTTCAAATTACACGCATCAGAATATTTTTATTAACCTAAGGTCTGAATTGAAGATGAAATACATCAGACCACTCCTTCTGGTACCTCCTTCACAAAGGATCAACATTTTTGAAGAAAAAAAAACGATCATAAAATCCGTAAAAAGCATCAGGTTCACTTCATATTTCACACATCCCTTTATTTTTACTAACACAATATTTGCTGTAAAAGTGGGATATATCGGTGTATACCCTCTGGTACCTCCCCCACAGAGTGTCAAATTTTTGAATAACCATGAAGGTCATACAAATCGAAATTAACATTCCATTCGATTCCATTGGCACATCTCAATATTTCTATTAACACGCGTTTTGGTGTGAAGATGGTACTTCGCCCCCAAAGGGTTAAAATTTTGAATAACCACGAAGCTCACAAAAAGCGAAATTAACATCCGATTCCATCCGGACTTGGCACATCTCAGTGTTTATATTAATACAAGATCTGTTTTTAGATATGGTAGAGAACGGACCATTCCTTCTGGAACCTTCCCCACAAAAAGTAAAGTTAAGTGTGTCGCTAAATCGTCTCAAAATTTGACGCTGATCAAGAATATATGCACTTTTTAGGGTCTCCGACAAATATTTCGAGAATAAAGTTTCACGATTATTATACCTTCCACCATAGTATGGAGGGTATATTAAGTTTGTCATTCCGTTTATAACAACTCGAAATATACATTTTAGACCCCACATATTCTTGATCAGAATAAAATTCTATGTCGATTTAGCGATGACCGTCCATCTGTCCCTCTGTGGGACAGCAAGCTTAAAAACGAATTGAAGTAGGTTGATAAAAATTTATTCAAATGTGTGTTTCCTCTGCAGGACGTTTGGTATTGAAAATGGGCTATATAGGTCCACGTTTAGTTATAACCCCCACATCCGGTATTTTGATGATTTTAGTGACTTTATCACCGGATTTATCTTAAATTTCGTATTTGAAGTTCCTAATAGGTACTACAATCTATGACAGAAAATTTTCTATGCAGGTCCAGGTTTTCGTTTAACCCCTTACATTTTTATTTTGATAATTTTGGCGATATTATTCACCGGAATTGTTTAACATTTCATATTTGAAGTTCGTAATCGGTCTGTGACAGTCTGTTATTGAAAATTGTCTATGCAGGTGCAGGTCTTCGTATAGCACTCATATAACGGTATCTACCTATATTCGGCATTTTTAACATTTTAAACTAAATTTTTAATGGATTCTATTTTTTATTATATATTTTTTTTTTAATTTCTAAATTCGTTCCAAATTGTGGAGAGTATTCCAAATGGTGAAGGGTATTCAAAATTTCGTTCTAGTTGGGACACCCCTTATTTGTAGATCTACTTTCATAAACTGCTGGAATTTGTTATTATTAAAAAAAATTAATTTTTTTATAGAAATACTGGATAAAAATATTGGTCGCAAATTATAGTTGTGTAGGATATAGCCGAACTGGTAACTGGTGTAGTACTCCACAATGAAATAAAACCCACTCCCGATAATATGGATTTAGCTATTCTGTAGATTTAACACACATGTTCTTTGGTCTTCCAGTGAGATCATACTGGCCGGATGAAAAAAACCAACAACAACAAAACGATATCAGCACAGAGCAAATGAATGAAATGAACATTAACTGCAGACTTCAAGCAACCGAAATATGATCACATACAACAAACGATCGTCCCACCAACCAAAACTAACCACACGGACACTACTTACTCTCAGAATGTACTACACACCATGTGAGAGTTGTAAGGTTCAAGTTGGGAGAACTTCAGATAGACTAAAATTCCATAGTGTTGGTGAGCAAAGAAAACATTGCCCACAAAATGATTCCCTCAACTACGGAGATCAGTTGAGTGTTGAACGTCCTCGTTAACGGTTGGTTGCTTAAACAGCGAGTTTGAACGGGTTGTGGCGGAAATCGTTGTCGGTCATCGAGTACAAAAAGAATACAAGAAAACAGAAAAAAAAGGAATACTCTACAAAGAAACACTGCCACAAACCTACCGAAGAAGAATCGAAGAAAAAAATGTAAATATAATAAAATATAGCTTGGAGTTACAAAATAGGAGTTGAAACAAAACACAGCGGAGTGCATTACTCTTGTGAAAGGGCTAGTTGGGGGACATCGATTAAATTGACAAATTCAGCAAAAATGCAAAAGATATCAAATGAAAAAAATTAAAATAACACATGTTATTCTGAAATCCAAAAGAAAAAAAAGAAAACCTAGACGATAATACAAACCAAACGATACAAAGAAGTTGAAACAGTGAAACTCAAATAATTTTCCATGAAAATCAATCAATGAATGAAATATTATAATTACCATACTTGAGTATTTTTATGGGTGGTAAGCCCCCCTGGTCTTGTGATAAATAATCTCCCAAAAAAAAGAATACAACAAAAATCATTTAAAATAAAAGAAAATCCCAAAATGAAACACAAAACATATGAACGAAAATTGCTGAAAACAATCTGTTGGCAGAAGAAACCTTTGAATAGATGCTTTGCATCTCAAGTATCTTAAAGATAGTTTGTTTTTGTGTATCTCCTCTTGTAACAGAAGAGAGGCAAAATGCATTCCAACAACAAAACCCGAAAACTCTGTGTTGGTCTTGTTTTACTTATTATTTTTCAATATTAATACAAGTGTGTGCGTGCGTGTGTTTAACAGCGAGAGAGCGAGCATTGGTAATGTAAATACCGACAGTCATACAAAGAGGTGATCAATCTACCTGAACGTGTTGCTCGCCCTAATAAATCAAAATAAACAAAACAAATAACCTCAACAACAGCTGAGAAACTCCAGAGCACTGCCGGCGGTGCTGTGAACTCTCTCATCTGGCCGATCGTCTACTAACCACTAAAAGAGATTGAAGACAATGCATAAAAGAAAAGAATACAAAAATAAGCACAACAAAATATAAATATGTAAAAGTTTACCAAACCTACCTGAGAAAATGGACACTGGACAACATCTTTCGAGCAGCTGAAGTCAATAATTTAATTAAAAATCGTGAATTATTTTTTTTCCTTTTATACAGAATCCAAAGCTATGGTGGATCAAGAAGGGCTCATATTTGGCCATATATTCAAGAAATTTAGAATCTCTTATATCCCGATGTCATATGATGAATTGATATGCCTAAAAGACCTTTAAAAGGTCTATATATAAACTAAAAAATCTGAACTATCCATAGATGATATTTTAAGATATTCTATTCATAGGTCAGCCGGCCTTTCACGTACCGACCCCACAAAGAGCCAACTTTAAGATATTATTTTTCCTCCAATGTGGAGGGCCTAAAAGACCTTTAGAATGTCCATATACTATGCCCAAAAGACCTTTAGAAGGTCTATATACAAAATCCTAAAAAAATCTGTACTATCCATAGATGATATTTTAAGATATTCTGTTCATAGGTCAGTCGGTCTTTCACGTACTGACCCCACAAAGAGACAACTTTAAAATATTATTTTTATATCCTCCAATGTGGAGAGTATAATCACTGTTATACCCACTTATATAATATATTAACTTTTATACCCTGTGGAGGTTATATTAACTCTGCCATTCCGTTTGTAACTCCTCGAAATACTCATGTTAGATCCAACAAAGTATATATATTCTTAATTAGAGTAAAATTCTAAGTAGATTTAGCGATGTCCGTCTGTCCATCTGTTATAATCACGCTATGTTTGGAATGAATTGAAATAGAAGGGCCATGTCGGTTCACGTTTTTGTATGGCCCCCATATAACGATACCTCCCAATATTCGGTATTTTGATGATTTTAGCGACATTATTCACCAGAATTTTTCCAGCTATAGCTATAGCACCCATATATATGTTTTATCCGATTTGACCCTCACATGCGTAATATGCACTCCACAACAATAATCTTTGGTGTCAGATACAGCTCAGAAATAAGTGTTTAAAATCGTGTCAAGATCGGTTCAGATTTGAATATATATCTTTATTCGATTTCAGATTTTTTGTGAACCAAATTACTAATATCAGCCCAAATGGGCTGATTTTTGACATTCAGCCAATTTGGAATTCAGCCTAGGAGAAAGTGCTTCAAATTTTTTGTGAAAATCGGTTCAGTTATAGCAATAGCTTTCAACAGCTGTTTCATCCGATTTGGTGTTAAAGTCCCTCACATCCGTAATATGCACTCCACAACAATGATATTTGATTCCGGGCATCAGATACTGCTGGAAAATATCTCCCAAATTTCATCAAGATCGGTTCAGATTTTATAGCTCCCATATGACGGTACCTCCCTATATTCGCGGCATTATTTACCAGAATTCTTTCAAAATTCGTATTTGAAGTTCCTAATGCGTACTGCAAGCTATAACAGAAATTTGACTATGCAGGTCCACGTTTTTGTATAGCTCACATATATATCGGTAGCTTCCCAAATTCGGTATTTATATGATTTTAGCGGCACTATTCATCGGAATTGTTTCAACTTTCGTATTTAAAGTTCATAAGAGTTAATACAGTCTGTGACAGAAAACTGTATGCAGGTCCACGTCTTCGTATAGCCTCCATTATAACGATACCTCCCGTTATTCGGTATTTTGATGATTTTCAAATTTTCGGAATTGTTACAAATTTCGTATTTGAAGTTCGGAATCAGTACTACAAAATTGTCTTCGCAGGTTCATGTCTGCGTATAGCCCACTTGTAACGGTATCCCCCTTTATTCGGCATTTTGATGATATTAGCGATACTATTCACCGAAATTGTTCAAGTTTGATTGAATCAAATTTCGTATTTGACAAAAAATAATACTTATGCAGGACCACGTCTTCGTAAAGCTCCCATATAACGGTTTCCATTTGAGCGATCGTTTTCGATGCATTTTTTTTTTTTAATTTTTCAACTTTCTTCCAAATGGTGGAGGAGGGTATAGTTGTTATACATAGCGTAAATGGAGTCTCCAATTTTTACACCCAATATCGCACTGGTATAGTCAAGGTATTAGGTCTTTGTTCTTTTGTTTGTAACATGCGGAAGTAAACGACATCGCCCCTAATTCCTTTAGCTGATCTCCATGGAATCACATTCTGAGTCAATTTACTCATGTTCGGCTGCCTTTCCCTCTAGTTTTGTATGTAAAGTGCAGGTCACACACATTGTTCGATTAAGATGAAATGTTGCACAGTTCACATATTTGACCCAAAGATGAACCTTTTTGAAATTGGTTATTCCATATATGTAATATCAGAACAAATATAATGAATTTTGGCACATTCGATCGATTTAAGTTAAATTTAGTGAAAATGGTTTAGTTATAGCTATAGCTTTGATATATATGTTTGACACGACATAAAAAACCTCTGTCAAAAGAAAGAAAGAAAAGATTAGGATGTAGCTTCCAGATGCTAGGTACAACTGATTTAAATTGGGTTAAACAAAGTCAATAATAGTTGACACATTCGTTTCCGCACCGAACCGCTATTTTTGAAAATTAACCGAATCGTAAACAAAAAAAAAAAAAAAAAAAAAAACAGTAAAGAAAGTCTTAAAGTCGGGCGGGTACTACACCACTTTGCTAATTTAGTAAAGCTGCGCATAACAATTAAAAGTTAGAAAAAGGAGAATTCAAGTTAGAAAAAGGAGAATTCAAGTTAGAAAAAAGGAGAATTCAATCATACACGCTATGATTATAATTATAATTTAAAGTTCAAAGGACAAAATATGCCGAAGCATTTGTATCTTTTAAATTCGGACTTGTATTGCCCATTTGGTGCACAATTAATTTGAAATCGGATAAAAATATACATGGAAGCTATATCCAAATCGGAACCGATCTCGATAAAATTTGGCAAAGATATTTCTGAGCTGGATTTGATATATTTCCCTGAATATCGTTGTTACGGAGTGCATATTACGGCTGTGGGTAACAAATATGACAAATCGGATGAACAATATATATGGGAGCTATAGCTATATCTGAACCGATTTCGATCAAATTTGGCATACTTATTTTCAGGTCCAATCTGATGGTACGCAAAATTCTATACTATTCGGACTGATATTACACACTTGGTGCACAATAAAAGGCAAATCGGACGAAGATATATATGGGAGCTATATCTAAATTTTGACCGATTATCTCCAATTTCAATAGGGTTCGTCCTTGGGCCAAACAAATGATTTATGCAAAATTTCATCTGGATAGGGCAATAAGTGCGAACTGTACTTTGTTTACAAAACTACATGGACGGACAGACGGACGGACATGCATAAATCGACTCAGAATGTGATTCTATGCAGATCATCAAAAGGAACTATGGGTCTATCTCGTTTCCTATTGCCTGTTACAAACAATTGCACAAAGACATAATACCCTGACCACCTTGTGGTGTAGGGTATAAAAACTCTTTTGAATTGAACCAAAAACAGTATTTCAATTTAAAAGAAAAATGGTTCGGTTCGGCAAGTTGTGCCTCCAAATTTAGAAATTTCTTACGAAACATAAACAAGGCTTTTTAATAACCCACTATATCTCATATCTTTATATAGAAGACCTTTAAATAAGACATTTGTTCCATAGAAACGCCTTTGATCCATAAAAAACATTAAATTGAACGTATATCCAAAGAAAGTGTCTTCTGTCCATAGAAGAAATTTCAAGGGAACATTTTTTAAGTTCGTATGATTTCTATTACTGAAATCAAGTTTTTTTTATTTACGAGACTTAAACATCTATTGAATATCTTTCAGTCACAATGAGCCGTTTTGGTGGAACTTGTTGCAATATTTCTTCAATGGGTTGATTTAAAAGCCACAGTGTTCGGCATTCATATAAATTGACACAGATGCGTGTTTTGCCAGTTCAGATGCCAAGAACAAGAATCTGATTGGTAAACTTCATGCATTATCTATATATATAAAAATCAATTGTTGTTTGTTGGTAACGGAATCAGTTGAAAACGGCTGGACCGATTTGCATAATTTTTTGTACAAACGTTCGTCATACCCCGAGTTAGGTTTTTAAAGAAAAAAATATT